ATTTTATGACATACAGAGGATAAACTGGACTTGATTTCTTGCCTAACCAAACCCACAGGATCTTTACTGAGCCAGCCTGAGTGGAAGGGGATTTTAGTATTGAAGAGAAGTGAAGATAAATTATTTTTTATTATCTACTTTTGAAACTAAGTAATTAAAACTTGGTTAATTTACAAATTGGATTATATACTATGTTTTTGTTCCAGGTTTATTATCATACATTGATAATAAAGTTGTCTACTGTGAACAAAACCTTAAAAGGTTGTGATATACACACTTTGAACCACTGATATGGAAAGTGTTAAAACAAATGTATATAAATATAATAGTACTGTCTGTTGTCTGTCCATGTAACTACTTCGCAGGGTGTGGATATCTTCAGCAAAATTGGTGTGGAGGGTCATTAGGTCTATGCAGGGGTACATATAATTTTTCAGTTTTGCATTTTGTGGTTTTTATGAGCGTTTTTTACCACTACCTCACCTTCTGTAGATGGATTTTCACCAAATTTAGTATGGAGGCTCGTTGAGTCCATGGGGAGATACATGCAAATTTGTGGTTTCACATTTTGTGTTTTGCAGTTTTTATGGGCATTTTATACAATTACATATAAAGAAAGTAACTTTTTATGTCCTAAGATAACATTTCATTAATTATGAATTTACATAACTTTTGTCCATGGGATGGGTACTCCAGCTAGTATAAAAATATTTTATTATCAGTTTTGCTACCATTAAAAATTATCCTGTTTATTGTACCACTTATGGGTAACATTGCTAGTAATTTCATGTTTGTCTCTTTATCATCCCAGTGGTGTGTATCTCCTGTAGTACCATCTATTACTTCATGCTAGTCTTGCAGATTAGTCATATAAGATGTCATTTATAGAAACAATAAAGAATATAACAGTAAAGAAGTGATTGAGAACTGAGAGTGAATAAAGTGGTGATGTACAGAGTGAAGTAGAAATCGGGTATTGTGGAAAGTGATATAATGTTGGTGTTGCTTTATTACTTAATTATTCTATTGTTTTGTGATAGGTATTGTATTGTGGAAAGTGATGTAATGTTGGTGTTGCTTTATTACTTAATTACTCTGTTGTTTTGTGATAGATATTGTATTGTAGAAAGTGATATAATGTTGGTGCTGCTTTATTACTTAATTATTCTGTTGTTTTGGGATACTGTTGTGGTATCTAACTGCTTGGGGGTGGGGGTGGTGGCTTCATATGAAGCTGCTTTGGACTTCTAGAGCTGTTCTATTAACTATTAAGATGACACTCTGTTGTGGTCTCTAACTTTGCCTGAGGGGGGGGCTTCATACAAAGCTACTTTTGACTTCTAGAGCTGTTCTATTAACTATTAAGATGACACTCTGTTGTGGTCTCTAACTTTGCATGAAGGGGGCTTCATATGAAGCTAGTTTTGACTTATAGAGCTGTTCTATTAACTATTAAGATGACACTCTGTTGTGGTTTCTATCTTTGCTTGAGGGGGCTTCATATGAAGCTAGTTTTGACTTCTAGAGCAGTTCTATTAACTATTAAGATGATACTCTGTTGTGGTCTCTAACTTTGCCTGAGGGAGGGCTTCATATGAAGCTGCTTTTGACTTCTAGAGCTATTCTATTAACTATTAAGATGACATTCTGTTGTGGTCTCTAACTTTGCCTGAGGGGGAGGGCTTCATACGAAGCTACTTTTGACTTCTAGATCTGTTATATTAAGATAACACTGTTGTGGTTTCTATCTTTGCTTGAGGGGGGCTTCATATGAAGCTGCTATGGACAGCTAGAGTTATTAACTCAATTAATCATTTTAATCAGTGTCTTATAAGCATCAATTACAATTATTAGTTTCTTTTAAAATGATTTACTAATCTCACAAAAATAATCAACTAAACAAAATTAGTGTTTCTAATTATTCCAACTATCCAACTAATCAAAATATTAGTCATTACTGCTTCTGTTGGAAGGACTGTATGTGATGGTATCCATGTTTTCTGTTTGTACGCAAATCACGAGTGTGGGGGTGTGTCATAGTGGTTGTTGACTATATTACTAGCCAGAGTGATGCCTGTGTTACTTAGCCTGGCATGGCCAGGTGGTTAGGGTGCTCGACTCGCAATCTGTTGGTCGCAGGTTTGATTCCCCCGTCCCACCAAACATGCTCGCCCTTTCAGCCATGGAGGCATTATAATGTGATAGTCAATGGTATTTAAAGAAGTACATGATTTTTATAATAATACAAAAAATTCTAAATGCAGAAATCAAATTCTATAAGTCCACATGTCTTAGCCCTAACATTAGTTAAGGCTTTATTAAGTACAGCCTATGTTTGATAGAGATAAATTAACACTGTAACTCATGTACATTTTTTGCTTTAGTTTCATTAGTGCTAAACTTTACCATACTTAAAACTATCAGTAGATAAGCATATAATCAAACTTATTTCATCAATTCTCAGACATATTTTTAGTACAAAGACTTTATTAACAGATCTAATTTTTGCCGTAAAACAGATTTGAACTGTTTGTACTAAAAGCTTGAGACACACTGTGAAGATACACTTTGTAAATTTAGAATTATAGTTAACATTACTTCTCCAATACAGGGTCAGTCTGTTCATTTGACTGAAGATTTTAAGTATTTTTAACTTGTATGAATATTTATTTATTTATGGCAACTATTTTTGTCTATCTTATGAAGTAATCTACTAATTAAACTCAAGATCCTTTCATCAATACCTTTAAAAAGTCTCACTCCTAATTGTATAGCCTCAGATGTATATAGGTATTAGTATTGACAGGCTTAATAATCTAGCCTCAGTTCTATTTGTCAGTATTTTTAGGCTTGGAAATTGTTGGAAAAATGTAATTTCATTGCTATATTTGTTTTTATTGTATAACCATTGTATGCACTCTTAAAAATACATTTTATAAAGTGTTTTGAAAATGAAGTATATACAGTTTTGGAGATTTTCACTGTATAGTTTTAGAAACTAAGCATACAAAGCCCATATAATTCATAAATAGTACGTAGGAACTATATCTACACACGTTAAAACAATGTATATATATATATTTTAAAATGAATGTATTCTTTAGTTTTCTTTTTTTAATGTGTGAAATTTAAATTTTGTTCATCTCAGTCTACATCTCAATGTATCAAATTCTTACTCTTTTTGATAAAACTAAAGGAGAAATTTATAAAATGTCTTAACCACGAATAACGGTAGATATTTTTTTGTTTGCATAGGGTGGGGCAGAACACAAACTTCCAATTTTGATTTCCCGGATTTTCAAAGATCAAGCAGGTATTGTTTTTTTTGTGTGTATGTATATATGTGAATATATATGTAGATAAGCACCTCATTCAGATATTTTTATCATTTTTTCTCGACAAAGTGTCATTAATGGGTTTCTCAGTATTACAATTGTCTGGAGATACTTTGAACATTATCATGTTATCTAGTTAATTTCATAATATAAATAAGAATTTTGAAAAATTGTTTTTCTTCTTTCGATTGGCAAGCCGATTATTATTTCCAGCATGGAGGCAAATTGGGTATTTCCTTTCCTATCTCTGAGATTTAGTGTTGCACAACAAATTGGGGGGGGGGGGTCGGGGGGTAGAGAATGTT